AATAAATAAATAAAATCTTTAAAAAAAAAAAAAGAATATAAAAATGTTGATTAACGTCATGTAAGGGTATAGTCAAAGTTGGAGTAGTCAAAGTTACCTCCATGTAACTCTGGGAACAGCCGCTCTGGCCTTCCAGCTCCAAATGGGTGAAGTTGACCTGTATTTGTTCTCCCAGGGGCTGTGTTATAAGATAGATGCACTGTCTGCTATGAGTGAAAGGTCCAGACAAGTCAGAGGAGAGAAGACCCTCTGGGTCTGTGTAGTTTCCTCCACAATGCAGATCCGCTAAAGAGAACAGGGAAGTAAAGGGAAAGGTCCTGTGAATGGCCATTCCTCTGACCCTCAGGCATTAGATACAATTTTTAAAAACTGACACACATACACATACAATCATATACCCACTTTATTCACCCTGTACAGGCTTATGTCTCTAAGTATATTTTCAGTTTGATGTGTGTTTGTGGGGCATCCATGTAGTGCCTAAAGAAATAGATTCAGACATGTGTGATCTAACTTCCCAACTAACATCATCTTCTACAAATTGCTTTTTAAAAACCTTTATGCTCCCCTTCATTCCAAAAAAGATTTGAGGCAGCTTATAAAATACATGTGACAAAATAAAATATATAACTAGAAAAAGGAATCTAACTAAAGGATGAACATAGAATAGCAGGATGTGCTCAAGGGAAAGTTGACATGCACAGAAAACGGGTTTGGACTCCACAGTCTACAGAAGGTTGGCTCTAGATTCAGCCTGAAGCCAGGGTAAATGAAGAAAAGGGACCTGTGAAAAGATGTTCATGGTTACATTTCCTGATATCGAGACCTGAAAGGTGTTTTTCCTGTGAATTCTCATCAGGGCCCAATGATGTATGTTTAGAACAAAAGCCCTAAAGTAAAAAATCATGGAGTATTTTATTGTTTATCATTGGTCTGTTGGTTTGTTTTAAGGTGTCAATACAGGCTATAAGCATAAAAGCATGGCAGTGTCCTTCACATTCATATGCTGCTCCCAGTGATCAGGTTACTTACACGGTGATGTTAAGTAGGTGACATGGAAGCCTTGGTCATTAATCTGGTTGTCAGAATGAAAATGAATTCTGGCAAAGGGGCCTGTAGTTTGGAGTGGTGGGACAGAAAGAGTGGTGCAGAATTTCCCAAGAACCGGGTCCTGATACAAAGGACCATCTCGAATCTAAAACAAAAAAAAGAGAATCATTAAGCACAGAATGGTCAGATTTTGACAAACCCACTCATTTTGTATATTAACTTCAGAAAACCAGTCATTTGAAACTGATGGCTCTCAGAGGTTTTCCCAACACATACAGATCCAATACTCAGTTGGGGTTCACTGAAGGGTAAGTCACCTTCTCCCATCATCCCCGATGCCTTATCTTCTGTCTAAATTTTAATGCCAAGGCTAGATGTATACTTTGAAATTTTCTCGTGAATCTTTCTCAATGTTTTCTTTCCTCGGTTGCCTCCCCCCAGATGTTTATTTTGAAATGATAAATTCCTAGTAATTGAGAAGGAGAAAATGAATATATGCAAAGAAAAGGGAAGAAGGGATACCAACAATGTCGACTGATTCACAACTTGGTCCAGGTATTCAGAAGGATCAGAGGTGGAAAGGAAGTGAAGTCAGGTTGACACAACATAGAGACAGTTAAAGGGGTTTTAGAAGTGCAATCCTAATAGTAACTAAGTACCATGATAATGACCATATGACCTGAGAAATCCTTTTTAATTGTTGGTTTTTAATCTCTTAATCATGTTAACCTCTCTGTAATTCTGTTGTAACTGCAAATTCTATACTACATAGAACACCAAACATCAGTGAACAAAGTACTATTCTAACATGGCCAATTTGGTCCACTCAAATTACTTTTTCTATCGGCAGCAAAGTTATAGGACAGCATTTCTTTATTCCTATATTTAACTAGTTCCTTGAAATATTGTTGAGAAATGAGAGGCATTTCAATATTATCAGAATGATTGATACTTTCTATTACACATATACCCAGGAATTATGTAGGAATGAAAAAAAAGCCTCTAATTTAAATTTGATGGAATTCATTGAAATTAATTTCAAAAAAAAAATCCATGCTACTGTCAACATTTAAGAGATTATGTTGCTGAGATTTTCCAGGGAGAGGTAGATTTTTCCAGTCATTCCCAAAGGTTTCGAATCCATTACAACTGCTAAATTACTAATGACTTTAACTTGTGGAGATCCCTGTTTGACAGCCGCACCTTTCTATCCTTTATGAATAATTCCATAGCATTCCATTCTTCTCTAATGGACTTGGAAAAGTATATTGTCTTTTATCACTACTGCAAGGACTACTAAGATTTATGGTGACAAACAAGACAGGAGCAACATAAGAACTCAATCTTAATGATCTTTTCAGTCTACAAATGCAGAGCAACATTTCTGATACACCTATATGCTCATGGCCTTTGAATATAACAGCCTTTTTTTCTTCTTCTATATTTTAATCTTTTACTAATGGTAAGCAGGAGGGGCATAGATTGACTCCTCTTCTTCCAATGACAATTTATCGATATATTCTAAGTTCACCTTCTAGCAATCCATTTCAACACAATTGCTATTATTTTTCTTCATGGAGCACTATAGTTAGCTTGTGAAATAATGGGTCAGGTTATCATAGACAACTGAAGCCTTGATTCTGCATTGGAAAAGATAACCATTACTGAGTGTTTCTTTTGTTAATTCTTTCCTTCCCTCCTTAGGGGACTGGGCTTCCAGGAAATGCCAGGGAACAGTAAGGCAGTCTATTTCCCAGCTTCAGATGAAACCCAGAAGAAGCAACAAGCTGGCACAATTAAGAATAAGGAATTAGCAAGACTTAAGACATCAGCTACCTATTAAAGAATATATCTAACTGTTGCTAGGAAATTGTAGTCATCCACAGGTATCATCAAACCATAGTTCCCTGAGTTCTAATCATATCATGATGTGTTCTGTCTAAATATGATTGCTTACCTCAAGATAATCTTTGCTGCAATCATCATGGTGCTCCAGACTCAAGGTTCCAAAAGTAAATGTTATCAAGAGTCCAGGACTGGTTATTATTTTCCAGATACAATCTCTTCCCGGAGGATAGTTTCCAGGATATCCCGGAGACTTAATAGAACCATAAGTACCCATCAGTACACCTCCACACTCTAAAATAAGAGGAAAAAACAACTTTACATTTGTATACAAGTTATAATTTATGTAAAGTTATCATAGCCTTTACTGCAAAAGGACAAGCTTTGTTGAATTAAATGTGTACAGTATGGGACGCCTTTATAAAATAAACAAGGCTTTCAGTTTTCCAGTTTGATACCATTCTAAATCTAGGAATATTAGTAGATAAATAAATGAGTCACTCATGCATTGAGCTCTGTGCTTATCAGCTATCACATGGTGATAATGATTTTAAAACACAGTGCTGAACTGTCTGAGGGATGAGATAATAGATATATTTTTTTCACTTTGGAAGAGATTAATTTCTGTATAACTTTTTTAAAGTTCTGGTTCTTAAAAAAGTTCTTCTTAACTCTTAAAAAGTTCTGGAACTTCTGTTACCCCTATGTCTTTCAACAAACCAGATTATTTTATACATTAGAATAATTAAGTGCTACATAATTCATTTGAGAAGATTTTTCAACAGTATGATATAGTTAAACTCTTCATTTTATAAGTGAATAAATTCAAATGTCTGTGGGTGGTTGAGCCACTTCCGCTGCCCAGGAATGGAGTGAGGGAAAGGCAGAGCCAGGCTTTGTGACACCCACTCCACTACCACTCCATTAATTTCCCCCCACCGGCCCCCTAAAGTTGTATATCAGTGACTGAAGGAATCTTTTCTTTAATGATATTCACATTTATTTAACAAAGAATCTGTGATGGCTTATAAGAAATAATATCCAACATCACTCATCATCAGGGAAATACAAATCAAAACTACAATGAGATACCACCTCACACCTGTCAGAATGGCTAAAATTAACAATACAAGAAACAACAGGTGCTGGTGAGGATGCAGAGAAAGGGGAACGCTCTTGCACTGTTGGTGGGAACACAAACTGGTACAGCCACTCTGGAGAATAATATGGAGGTTCCACAAAAAGTTAAAAATAGAACTACCCTACGATCCAGCAAATGCACTACTAGTTATTTACCCAAAGGGTACAAAAATACAGATTCAAAGGGGTACCTGCACCTGATGTTTATAGCAGCATCATCAACAATAGCCAAACTATGGAAAGAGCCCAAATGTCCATCAACTGATGAATGGATAAAAAAATGTAGTATATATACACAATGGAATATTACTTAGCCATCCAAAAGAATGAAATCTTGCCATTTGCAATGATGTGGATAGAGCTAGAGTGTATTATGCTAAGTGAAATAAGTCAGTCAGAGAAAGACAAATACCTTATGATTTCACTCATGTGGAATTTAAGAAACAAAATAGATGAACATACAGGAAGGAGAAAAAAGAAAAAAAAAGAAGAGAGAGGGAAACAAACCGTAAGAGACACTTAAAGATAGAGAACAAGCTAAGGGTTGATGGAGGGAGGTGGGTGGTGGATGGGCGAGATGGGGGATGGGTATGAAGGAGGGCACTTGTTGTGATGAGCACTGGGTGTTGTATGTAAGTGATGAATCACTGAATTCTACTCCATAAAACAATACTGCACTGTATGTTAACTAATTAGAATTTAAATAAAAACTTTGAAAAAGAAATACTACTGTAAAGTTGAAAAATAGAGATGCTAAATAAAAATCTAGGCTGCAGTGAATATAAATTAGAAAAAAATAAAATAAGGTGACATTTCAGATATGCAAGATATATGATTTACATAGCTATGCAGGTTGCTTAGACAAGTCTTTCTGCCAAGGCAGAAAGTGAAACAAATTAGTGACATGATTCTCACTGTTCCTAATAAGAGAACATCTCTGTTGCTCAGAGGAAGAGAAGTTTCATAAAATTTAGTAGTTAAATTATTATATGGATAAAAAATTACAATACCATAAACAAAGTAAAATGTTAATGGTGAGCTGGGAAAAAAATTCAATACATAATACAAAGAATTAACATCTCTGATATATGAAGAGCTTCTAAAAAATAGAGACATAAAGAGTTCCCTGGAAGAAATTCAAATGTCCTTTATACTTGGAAAAGATGTTCAGTCTCACTCATAACAAGGGACATACAAATAAAAACTTTGCTGAGATACCATTTCTTCCTCTTAGAATGATACATATCCAGAATACTGAAAACAAATGATCGGTGGTGCTGTGGAGAAATAGGCACTCTCATATATTGCTGATGGAAATACAAGGTAGTACAACTCTTTCAGAAGAGATTATGGCAATGTCTAGCAAAAACGTAGACATTTATTTTTTGACCAAGTAGTCACACTTTTAGAAATCTATCCCAAAGATACATTGGCAAAAATGCAATAAGACAAATTCTCAAGGACTCTGTTGCAGTACAATTTGGAATTCCAAAAGACTGAAAACAAGCCAAATACTCATCAAGAGAGTACTGACTGAATAGACAATGAATGAGATATCCATGTAATGCACGCTATGCTCTAGTCATGGAGTAGTCTCTAGGATATATCAAGTGAAAAAGCAAACTACAAAGCAGTACATATTATATCCTACCTTTTTTAAAAAGGGTGGAAATATGATCATACATGATTATCTGCTTATATTTTTTAAATGGAAGGGTAAATCAAAAACGAATAAAAATTGTTTCCTTTGGGAGAAAAGGAACAAGACAGAAGGGACAGGGATGAAAGTTAGACTTTTCTAAATTTACCATGAATTTTGGTTTGGCTTTGGAACTATGAATATGTTTTACATAATTATAAAGCAAAATTCAATAAAAATGAAAAAGTGAAACCTTTAAAATCACAAGCAAAATGAAACAAAATGAAATAACTGTTGAGCTAACAGTTCAAACATGGAGAGTAGAAATATTCCAGGACACTTTAAAACACTGTAAAATTTGATTACAGAGCTTGAGTGAAACATATATTAAGTACAAAAGGATTAGCCAAGGAATACTAAATGGCTTTCAGTTATTATATTATTAGTAATAATATTGGTATTGTTATTTTGAAAATTCATACAGTAGGATTAAGTACATAAGGTAATATGTTAATGTCACTAGGAACCAGGATTTTTCATGAAGTGAGAAGAGGTACAAATATCAAATTAAAAACCTTTAATTTCAATATGCAAATATATTGGAAGATCACTAAGAATACATGATATACTTTTTCTTCAAAACTAATAAAAATGGGGGTGCCTGGGTGGCTTAGTTGGTTGAGTGTCTGACTCTTGATCTCAGCTCAGGTCTTAATCTCAGGGTTGTGAGTTTGAGCCCCACACTGGGCTCCACGCTGGGCATGGAGCCTACTTAAAAAATAATAATATTTTTAAAAAATTTCTAGTTCCTTCCACTGAAAGATCTAGAGACTTTGTTCAACCGAGTAGCAATAACCACTCCTACCATCCAGATTATAGAATCTAAATATGATTTCCCATTAGAGGAGTACAAACTCCTGGAATATCCTTCAGAGCAGAAAGTGAGGAAGTTTCCAAAGGTAACCAGAATTGAGTCAAAGAGGCTCAGAAACTAACTTGAAAAGTTTTCCCACTAGCCAAATATGGAACATTTTAACATAAAAAAAGTCTAGAATCGATTATATCAAATATGATAAAATATGAGTTCATTTTTGGTGCTAAAACCAAAACAAAATAAAAAGAGTAATAAGTAATTGTTCATTCTGGAGAAAACTAGGAAACCAAGTCATTAATTTGAATACTGGAGAAAAATAGGGGGAAGAATCAAGCATTTATCCTACCTTTCCTAACTGATCTCTATGTGAGAGTAACCAAATAGTTGACATGGGAAAGGCCTACTCCATTGAAGAACACCAGATAGTAAATAAAGAATAACTGATAAAATTCAACTTTCATCATTTTGAAAACCCCAGTTAATCTAAACAATGAACCTATGGGTTGCTAAGACCATTAGAGAAAGGGCAAAAGAGAAGCTTTTTAATGGAAAGACTAACCTGACAAAATCAAAACACTCTAATCAATGTTGCAGTCATTATAGGGAGGCAAACAGACATCGAGGACCTCCTAATATGATCATTTTTGTCCCCCTAAACATAAAACTGAATTTGATCCAACCATTCTAGCAAAATCTAGAATATGGGATAATCTTTAAGATACACAACAGTGTCTGTAACAAATGTGAGCAACGGTTAATATTTTAAAATAATAAGGAATTATTGTTTGTATAGTTTTTATTGTCTCCAGGCATTAAGAAGCAAACAGTGAAGGACTGTGATCCTTGAGGGGAGGGAAGCACACGTGGTGAGTCTCATATTCACCCAAATATATTCTCCCTCTGTGCCTTTCCCAAATTGCAGTGCAGGGCAGTGGAGTCCAAGGAGCAGCAATACTCTTGCTGTGTGAAAGAAATAAAACTCAGAATTTGGGGCTCCCAGAGTGGCTGGGACTTTGGAATAAGGTACTATAGCGAAGACAGCTGCATGGCCATAACACCCAAAAAATTCGTAAGAGGTTCCTTGGGCCCTTAGCTGAGTCTTAAGCTGCATGTACACAGGGGAAGACTACATTATAAAGTATGAGAGCTATGAGACATAGTCAAAATCTCCAACATATGTATAATCTGAGTTCCAGAAGGAGAGGAGAGAGGAAAAATGACAGAAGCAGAGGAGGAAAACCATGCGATAATTTCAATAGATTTAGAAAAAGTATTTAATATATTTCAACATCCATTCATTATAAAAATTCTTGACAAGCTAGGAATAAAAGGTGAGATGGTTTAAAAACATTAATAAAATCTTTGACATTTCTTCAATTGAGGTGGGGTACATGTCTCCTCCCCTTGAACCAAATAAAAGTATGGCAGAAATAACACAACATGACTTCCAAGGATAGGTCCAAAAAAGCCATGCAGCATCTGCCTGGGTCTGTTGTAAGGCTTACTCTAAGAAAAAACCAAGTGCCATGAAAGAAGATCCATTACCCTAAGACCACCATCAGAGAGGGGCTACATGGAGGCATTCAGGTCAACAGCCTGGTTCAACTCTTATCCAAAGGCCAGCATGAACTGAGTGAGTCATTCTGGGTTTCCAGCCTAGCTGAGCCTATAGATGACTACAGTTCCAGCCAACATCTGATTGTAACTGCTTGACAGATCAAACGATAATTGGGCCCTTTCCAAATTCCTGGTCCACAAAATCAGAAACATAATAAAATGATTAATGTTCTACAACACTAAATTTGTGGGTAATCTGTTATACAGCAATAGTTATTTGGAGTGAACTTCCTTCATCTGATAAGAGTTATCTACAAAAACTTACATCTAAAAATTATATTCAATGGTTAAACACTGAACGAAATTTCCCCATGAGGTTGGGAAAAAGAAAATGATGCCCACTCCACCACTTTTGTTCAGCATGGTACTGGATGTCCTAGACAGGCAATAAATAAATTGAGGAAAAGAAGAAATGATAGTTACAAAGATTGGAAAGGAAGATGTTAAAAGGAAAACCACAGGCCCCAAACAGTGTCACTTAGGCCAAGTCCCCAAATATGGGCTTAATACCTAATCTAATTGCACTTTCAACCTCCCCCAGAAATGTAATCTTAACCTGTCAGTCAGGAATTTTCCACTTAGGGCCAATGAGTCTGCCACATGGGCTCTCTCCATCCCCCAAAGGAAGATGAGGTAATCTACAGGATTAGACCCCTCTCTCTTCCCCTTAAGGGAAGACCTTGCCTGGAACAATCTTTTGTGGGGCAATAATTTCTTGCCCCACCCTCCTTCCTATAAAAACTTTTCATTTCATATAACTCCTCAGGGCTCCCCTCTGTTTGCTAGATGGGATGTTGCCCCATTAATGTGTTGTTTAATAAAACCAATTAGATGTTCAAATTTACTCCATTAAATTTTGTTTCTTAAAAAAGAAAAACAGCCTTTATTCACAGATAACATAACTGTGTATGTAGAGAAATCTAAAAGAATCTACCAAAAAAAGCTATTTGAATTGATTAATGATTTTAGCAATGTGGTTGGATTCAAAATCAAATATTTTTTTAAAATATGTCATATTTCTATATACTAACAACACATAAAAATGACATTTTAGAAAAATAATATCATTTACATAGTATAAAATATCAAATATCTAGAAAAAACAACAATATGTGCAATAAACACTGGAATATATAAATCATTGTTAAGATAAATTAAAAGAGAGCTAAATAAATACAGAGATAGTCCATGTTCATAAATTGACAGAAGAAAATAAATAAATAAATAAATAAATAAATTGACAGAAGAAGTCATTTCTTCCCAAGTTATAGATTCAAGACAATGCCAACAAAATCCCAGCAGATTTTGGGGGGAAATTAAGAAATTGATTCTAAAATTTATAAGAAAATGTAAAGGATCTAGCATATTTTAAAAGAACCAAATTACAGGATTTACACAACCAGATTTCAAGCTTCAGTAGTTAGTTAAGCCAATGCAGCACAAGGACAGATAAATAACCAATAGAAAAGCAGAGAAATTCCAGAAATAGATGCACAGATTTATTGATGAATAAACTGGAGGTTCAGTACTGTTCTATCTGCTTTTTTACCTGTTTAAAAATTGTATAGTAAAAAGCTAAAAAAGTAAAAAGTAGAGCCCCTCAAGACAAAATAACAACAAAAGAACAAATTATCAAATGGTCATTAAGATAAGGAATACTAACGAAGGAACAACAATGTAGTCAACAACATCCCTGCAGTAATTTACTAGTAGAGTTTATAAGAATGCTGTTTGGTAATTTCATAAGGGATCCATTAAGACTCACGGTTTTTAATCTTTTTTGTTCATCCAAATTTTGTTATCTCCAAACACAAAATGGAATTCCAATTCATTTTAGATTTATTTGATATTTAAAGAATTATAAAAGTATGATATAATCCCTGGATCTCAAAACATTTAATGTTATCCACAAGTCTAACATTAATGAAGAAAACTTAATAATCTCAAGATTTTGCTTGATTTTTCTTCATGTTTACACATACCTGGTTGCTGTGTTTCCCATCTTATTGTAAAGCCTCTCTCACTTCTGAAATGTTCAGAATGGAGATGAAAATAGAGGGCATTGTCACTACTGAGGAGTTCATGAGGGAGAATGGAGCCACAGAACCTTCCAAGTTGGAGTGCTGCAGAGGAATCTCCATCATGAATCTGAAGAAACTCGTGTGGACAATTGCTCACTGATTCTAACCGGAAAAAAGTGAAAGTGATACGCAGCACCTAAAAATGTAAAGGTCACAACATATTGTTTTTCATTTCCATATTAATTCTAAAGCGTTTCTCCCACTAATTAGGAAGCATTCATATTAAGTCACCTTTCAAGAGGCATGTCTATAATTTCCCAACTATCCACAAATACATATGACAAATCTACATATTCAATAACTTGTGTTAAAAATTGCTTAGGCGGGGCACCTGGGTGGCTCAGTCATTAAGTGTCTGCCTTCGGCTCAGGTCATGATCCCAGGGTCCTGGGAT